ATTATAATCAGTGAGGATGAGAACGAGAGCATCCCAGTTTCCTGAAACGAGTCAAAGCAGGAGAACTGTCAATGATTTTAAGGCAGAGGTTTTCAAACTGGGGTCCCAGGACACCCAGGGGTCCGTGAGAGGTATTTTTGGGGTCCTCAAAAAATTTCACTAAAATGTTAATTTGGTTTTTATTTTTTAAAAAGCACAGGGAACAATAAAATAATAAAACAATCATAATAAACTAAATAAATATATTCCCATGGCGTTTAGGGGTTGAAACGACAGTAAATTACCCTTTAAAAAGCAGGGGGCTTATGAGGGGGTCCCTAGACCCAAAAAGTTTGAGAACCCCTGTTTTAAAGCACTCGGTTCTCAGGCTGCTTCCAGTTTCTGTCTGAGGCTGAAGACTTTCCTTTGTGATAAACCCTAAAACTGAGCCATTCAACTGGCGGCCCGTGGCCCACAGCTGGCCCGCGACTGACCACAGTTCGGCCCGCCAATTAGTTCATCTTTTCAGCCCAACCCCCTGGTTTTCTACTTTAATTACGCTTAAGTTGTTTTAGTTAAACACAGACATGTTTGGTATCTACAGAAACATCAGAATCTTGTCTACAAGCTGGTAAAACATGTCTATGAACACTCAAGACACTTAAAACTACGAGCAGTTGAAGATAAAATGATGAAAAAGCTGGTTTAAAAAGTTGTCAAGTCAGAGATGTCAAAATAATATTTGTGTTAAATGAGGCAGAACATGTTCTTTTTGTTTTTGATTTTGTTTAATTATCACTACTTTTTCAACACAGGGTTCTGTATGTTGTATTCATGATTAAATGCTTAAAAATAAACTATTTCAAAGGTAACAGATCTTTGTGTATTTACAAAATGATGTTCGGCCCCTCAGCTGTTGGCCTGCAGTATCTGTGGCCCCCGGAGTGATTTAGCTGACCCCTGGTCTAAAGTCAGGGTTGGGTTCTGGTAGTTTCACTGCTATAGACAYCAGAATCATGAACTGGACTTTTGTTCTGAATTAGAGCAAAATCKGAACGATGTTCACGGTTCTGAGGCTGGACACGCTGAGTGATGAATTATTCATTCAGGAAACAAAAAACCTGCTGCAGATTTTTGGTTTTACACTGCAAAAACTGTCCANTGAATTTTGTTCGTATCTGAAAAAAATCATAGAATATGAAAACATTGGTGAATGACACAAATTCTCCTAAATCACTCGTACGCACAACTTAAGAACAAATCTGTGCGTACCAACGGTTCTTGCATGAGGCCCAATGAGTTTAGAAACAGCATTTAACATTATAGTGCTCTTCCATTGTGTTGTAGGGTTCTATAAAATCTGGGGGTTTCAACCTTTTGACTTAAAATACWTCACAGATCAATAATTAAATAAGCTGCAGCTCGTTTAGGAGGAAACCCAAGAAGACAACATGAAGATATTTATAATATTACTTGTTCTTTTGTTTAAATTCCAGTGTTTTTGTGGAACAAACAGCATTAAATTAAACCCGTCAGAATAAACACTCCGGTCCAGATCGGTCCGGTCTGGATCCTGGTCTCACCCTGGACTGACGGCCTCCTCAGGCACACTGATGCAGGYCTGGCCTGAGACCTGAATGTGGGACTCCTGGTAGTCCCTGAGGCTGCGGGCGTCCATGACCATGACTGAGATGGTCTGGTCCTTCATCATGTGGAAAAGTTTCTCAGCTGTGATCCCTCCTGCTGGCTGAGCAGCTGACACACACACACACAAACACACAGTTAAAAGTGGACAAAAACAACACAAACCTCGTTGTGTTGTTTTGTTTACCTTTGCTGATGACAGTCTTCAGCTCATTTTGCTCACTTTTCACCTGAAACACAACAAAGATTCATCTTTAATAAAATGTTTTTTCTGGACGTATTTAAAGCGACGACAGAGGAAAGAACGCTGTCAGACAGTAAACATCTTTACCAACAGCCCTTCACAATAAAAGCATCTCAAACTACAGAATCAAGCTGATTATTAAGCAGATCTTCCAGGATAAAGTTCAACACTTTCTACCTTCTTGCTGTCCTTCTTGTTGGCAGACGAGACTTTTGGAGAGCTCCTCTCRTTCTCTTTCTCCGTTTCCTCCTCTCGTTTCTTCTTCTCCTCCAGCCTCTCCTTCTCCTCCAGTTTTTTTCTGACCTCGACTTCTTCATACCTGTTTGAAATGGAAAACATGAGCCAGAATAGAGCAAGGCGCCGGTGCAGCGGGTGAGTTAARCAAACATGAAGCGAGCAGAAAGTCCAACCTGAGTTTAAGGCTTTCAGAAAGCTTCTCAGCTTCTTCGATGGCTTTCTTGAAGCTATTTGTCCCAAGCAGAGTCATGTAATAGTCCTGTCAGAACAGAAAAGAAAGATATGTATGGGATCAATGTTGTGCCAGCAGGAAGTGAATCTGAATGTGTTTAATTTAAACTGAATGCATTGGTTTGAAAATAAATTTGACTAAATTAAAACTGAATTTAAAGTTTTGTATCTGAATTAATTTGCTTTGAAACTGTATTTTGGTTTATTAAAACTTCAGTTTGAC